CCAAGCCCTTCTCCTCCATTCTCCTCTCGGGATCTTGGGCATGCACGCACACGCGCCCGGCCTGCGTTCTAAGCCACCAGGTCCGGGATGCGAACCGCGGTCGACTACATGGGAATCCAGCGACATAGCCATTACGCTAACTGCTGGTTCCCTAGAAAAATCTCTCTTAAAAAAAAATAAATTAGAACACAGGGAGAATGGCACGGTGGGGCTGTGCCCTATTCCTTCCCTCTAAATATTGATAGAAAAAGGATGTAAAAAGGTTGGCAGGAGAGCCTGGAAGCCAGAAAGCAGCAGTCCTTGAACTTGCTGTGCACAGAGCACCTGCAGCGCTTCTAGTGCAGGCTGCCAGGGCCGCAGGAGGCATGGTAGTTAAGGCGCCGGATCCCATGTGGCCAACTCTGTGGTCTGAGTCCCAGACTTGGTGATTTGAAAAACACACTGCGTATATGTGTGTGGATGCCCAAAATCCCGAGAGGAGAGTAAAGAAGGTTTGTGGTGTGGCCATCCCCCCGGGGGGTCATTTCTCACTTTCTCTTTCTATTAAGCACACAAACTGGAAGGCAAAAGTGTTAAAGAAAAAAAAAAAAAAAAGTCTCCCAGGATGCGAGTCACCGCACTGCACGTGAGCGAGGCCAGGCGGCTGTGACGGCGCAGTCTGGGCACCACAAGGTAAGGGACAGCCTTAGGGCCCTTGACAACGCTCCCCGGCACGTGCATTATGAAGACCACACTAGGCCCGAGAGCTTCTCTGAGCACTGTACACAGTCCGAGAGCTCACCTCCACTTGCTTCTCAAACTGCTTGATCTTCCGCTTCAGCGACTGCACGTAGGTGATGAAGGTCACTGCGTCGGAGGTGCTGGCCGTGTCCACCGAGTGCTGCTCCAACTCTTGGCGAGACTGCGCAGAGAGAGGGCAGTGTTGCGTGGGGGCGTCCAGGCACACTCGCGCCCTGGCTGCAAGGGCAGGCCCCACGGCCTCACCTTTGAGATCTGGGAGTGGAATTCTGTCATGTTTGATCCGAGCATCTGCCCGAACTTGCTGAGCACCTCCTTATGCCAGGAGTCGTACTTCAGGTTCACCTTAGATTGCACCTGCGGGGAGGCCACACACCACCGTCAGAGCCCCTGTGGTACGCTCCCGCTCAATCCAGTCAGACAGACGCGTGGCACCTGCAGCCGCCCGTCAGGGGGACGGCGGCTCACCTTGCCGTAGTCTATCACCACCGGGCCAAACTCCTTCTTGGTCTCTGCGTTGTCGAAAGTCCCCCTGGCCTTCCGGATCTGCACCAGGAGAGCCTGCCACTTGTTCAGGTCCTCCCCGAGCCTGTTGTAGATGTTCTCGGCTTGCATGTCCCACAGACACTGGTACTGAAGCCAAACCTGCAAGCGACAGTCTCAAGTTTCACTCTGCAGAATCTGATAAATATGACACTCACAGTCCATTAAAAGGGACTTCTTCAGTCATTAGAAAAATTCTCACTTCAGAGTCTAAAATCGAGCATCCTTGAAAACCAGTCACACCCAGGATGGGGCCCAGTGCTCACTCTCTGCTTGAAGACAAGCAAAGGCCACCCAGGGCGCCGCCCGGTAGGCAGTGATGCTCGCCCAGCTCCACATTCCTCAGTCTTCAGGACAGGCGGATTAACACGTGTGAACAACCGGGCGCGGCTCACCTTGACGTACTGCTCGACCTCAGTCACGATGCCCATGACCGCGGAATACGACTCTTCCAGGGCCACTGGGCCGTCGGGCATCCGCGTCAGAGCGTTCCTGTAGAATTTCTCTTCCTCCGTCAGCTCGTAATGCACGCCCACCTAAGCAGCCCAAGGGAGACAAGGTCAGCTGTGTGTGTGCGAATGCTAAGCTGGGTCCCCTTTCCTTCATTGAGAGGGACTGAGAGAATATCTCGTATCCAAATGGCATTTAAGGGATAATACCCACTTACACCCACTACGAGTAATCCGAAGCCCTTACGGCGAATAACCAGGGCTGGCAGGTGGTGTGTGGGTAAGGGTGCTGGACTCCAACCTGGCTGACCATGGTTCGAGTCCCATATCTGGCGGCTTGCTTCCTCACTTTCCATCTCTCTCTTTGTCTGTCTGTCTGTCTCTCTCTGTCCTTATCTGGTCAAATTAAAATAAGTTAAATAAATAATCATTTTTTAAAAATTAGAATAACTAAAACTTAGAAAAAGGTGGCATTGCTAACAGGACGGTGGAAAAGCAGCTGAGTGGTGCACAAAGATGTTCGTTTATTTCAACTCTCTAGAGCCTAAACAGACACAATGCCTGTGCCCGTGCGCTTACGCTCCCTAATCAGGGAGTAAACAACACAGAACACTGGTGGGGAGAGCAGCGGGGAAGGATGAGGCAGCAGTGCACGGTCATATTCTCTTTATTTTTATAAACTGCTTTATTTAGCTTTACTTATTTAATTGTTATTACTATTTTTTTTTTGGAGACATTTTTGCTATAGGGCATGTGCGCTCGCCAGACAGACAGACAGAGACATAGAGACAGAAAGCGAGAAATCACCCCCCAGGGGGGATGGCCACACCGCAATCCCTTCTCCTCCATTCTCCTCTCGGGATCTTGGGCACACACGCACATGCACTCAGCATGAGTTTAAGCCACTGGGTCTGGGACTCGAACCGCAGTCGACTACATGGGAGTCCAGCGACATAGCCATTATGCTAACTGCTGGTCTCATTATTTAGTTATTTTTATCTGAGAGGGTCAGAGCGAGAGAGGAAAGTGAGAAAGCCAGCCACTAGGCCTGGGACTCGAAATGTGGTCGGCCACCTGGGAGTCCAGTGCCCCTAACCATCTGCCAGCCCCCAGAGATCGCATTTTCAAGGCAGGGTCGGGACAGGCCTCACTGCGAAGTTGACATCTAAGCAGAGACCAGAGGGCAGGAAGGCCGTGAGTGCCTGCTACCAGGGCTTCTGGGCAGACAGACCAGCAGGGTGAAGGTCCTGGGCAAGAGGCTGCCGGGCCTGAGGACCAGCGGAGGCTGGCGTGGCCAAAGTGGAGCCAGTAAGGACAGGGACAACTGACATTGGGGCGGCAGGCCATGTCCGACAGGGCCCAGCAAGCCACCGTGGGACACGGGCTTTCATGCTGGCTGACATGGAAACCCTGGAGGCTCTGGAAAGAGAACCAGCTTGGAATTTGAGACCCTCTGGCTGCTCCGCTGGGGAAGAGTGGAGGGGGAAAGGTGGGCGGGCCGCGGGCAAAGGTGGGCGAGCACGTGGGAAGGAGCACCAGCATCCGGGGGGACGCCGGCCCGGGGCGGGAGGCAGCAGCGGACGTGGGAAGAACGGGCACTGGAGACCATGACGGTGTGCATCAAGGATGACGCCACAGCTTTGGGGCTGAGTGGGGTGAAGGAAGGGAAGGGAAGGCCGGAGACAGACCTGACTTGTCTCCCGACAGCTGCGAGGACGTGCCATGCGGGCGACAGGACAGACAGGTGTGGTACAAGGTCCGTCAGGCTGCCCAGGTGAATGCCTGGGGACCCTTGGGAGCAGATGGTGAGGCCGACAGACCACTGAGCGGGAGGGTGAGAGGGGATGGGCCTTGGGAGGCCGGGAAGAGGGAGCGCAGGAGAACCGGTGAAGAAAACGGGCTGGGGAGGTCGCAGGGAGGCCAGGGAGGCGTGCTGTTCTAGCAGGAGGAGGGAGGCGCACCCTGAGGAACACTGCCACTGAGTAAGTGTGACAGGACCGAGCAGCCCACACTGCCAGGAAGCCACCAGTGACTGTCCCAGAGCGGGGCAAGCTGGGGAGGCCAGTGTCTGGGAGGATGGGAGAGGCGCCCAGAGAAACGAGTTCAGACAGCGTGCCACAAGCTTCGTGATGAAGGGGAGCAAGAGAGCAGAGGGCCACAGGGACTCGGAAGAGAGGCAGGCGAGGCTGAACAGCGGGCGAGAGGGACGAGTCTGGTGTGCAGGAGACGGCAGGCTGTAGTGTGGGCAACCAGGACGAGAGCCCGAAACTGTGCAGACTCCTTGAGGGCAGAGCCTACGTTCACAGCCTGGGTCAGGTCGGCTGGGTGATGCAGAGTTCAGGCTAAACACTGCCAGGATTTCAAGTCCATTAGCTCTAAGAAAAACCTTAAGAGTGCCAGCATGGTGGTTAGGGTGGCTGGACCCCACATGGCCAACTGCACAGTTCAAAAACACGCCAGGTGCGTGTGTGCCCAAAATCCCAAGAGGAGAGTGAAGGAGAGGGGACTGCGGCGTACTCATGGGCCTCGGTCTCTCTCTGGCAAGCACATGTACCCTCCTAGCAAATTAAAGCAAAAATAAACAAATAAATAAAAATGAAAAAATAAAATCCTGGGGCCAGCAGGTGGTGTAGTGGTTAAGAGGCTGGACTCCCACACAGTTGACAGTGGTTTGAGTCCCAGACCCGACTTGAATCTCACACCAGGCACGTGGGCATGTGTGCCCAAAGTTCTCAGATGACAATGGAGGAGTAGGAAATTGCCATGTGGCCATCCCTCTTGAGGGGGTTATTTCTTATTTTCTGTCTCTCCAGCAAGTACACGTGGTCTACACCAAAAATATCTCTCTAAAAAAACACACCGGGCACGTGTGTGTGTGTGTGTGTGTGTGCCTAAAATCCCAAGAGGAGAACGAAGGCGGGATTGTGGTGTGACCATCCCCCACAGGGATGCTCTCTCACTTAAAAAAAACCAGAAAGCGAAAAATGGAAACCACTCTGGTGAGCACGCGTGTCTAGGACCCTGAGGGGATGGAGAACCGGGGAAAGACCTGCACCGTGAGAGAGGGAATTTCCTGGTAAGATCATTAAATTGTAGAATGCTGTCAACATGGTCTGTATAGTCTTTTCATCTGAAAATCAATGGTTCTACTAGAAAGCAACGCTGGCGGCGCTGGCAGGCGGGTGCTAGCTAAGGGCACTGGACTCCCTCGTGGCTAACTGCGGTTTGAGTCTCGGACCTGGCGGCTTGCTTTACTTTCTTTCTCTCTCTGTTTTAATGTAATTTAAATAAATAAAGAAAGTTAAAAAACAAAAAACAAAAAAACACAAACTCCTTGTCTATATTTTCTTAAAATAATAATTAAAAATAAAATAAAATAAAAAACAACACTGGCTAGAGATCAGGGATTAAATGGTGTTCTGAGCTCCCCTTCTGCTCTAGAAATGAACTATTAAGAGAACATCATATCTGGGATTTGCTTTAAAGTAACCTGGTACAGTGCGGACAGGAACGTAACTAAAATAAAATTGGCTGTGTGTTGAAATAAAAAGCTAGATGAAGGGGCTCGCAGGTGGTGTGGTGGTTGTGGGTGCTGGACTCCCACGTGGCTGACTGTGGTTTGAGTCTTGGACCTGGCAGCTTTCCTTCTTTTTTTTTTTTTTCTTGTTTTGGAGAGGTTTTTGTCATAGGGCGCGTGTGCTTGCCAGAAAGACAGAGAGAGACAGAGAGACAAAAAGCGAGAAATCACCCCCCCCAGGGGGGATGGTCATGCCGCAATCCCTTCCCCTCCACTCTCCTCTCGGGATCCTGGGCATGCACACACATGTGCCCGGTGTGAGTTTAAGCCACCAGGTCTGGGACTCAAACCACAGTCAACTACGTGGGAGTCCAGTGACATAGCCATTGCTGGTCCCCCGGCAGCTTGCTTTCTCACTCCCCCCCCACCTCTCTCTCTCACTCTGTCTCTTTCTGGTCAAATAAAAATAAATTAAATATAAATAAACAAGTTAAATAAAATAATAATTTTTTTGAGAGGTTTTTGCTATATTGCATGTGTGCTCGCCAGAAAGACAGAGAGACAGAAAGCGAGAAACCACCCCCCAGTAGGGGGTGGCCACACCACAATCCCTCCTCTCAGGACTTTGGGCACACACACACGTGCCTGGCGTATTAGGCCAACACGTCCGGGACACGGACTACGGTTGACTATGTGAGCGTCCAGCAATATAACCATTACTCCATCTGCTGGTCCCTTTTTGTGTATGTTTAAAAACTTCCCTTGTGGAGCCGGAAGGTAGCATGGTGGTTTAGGACACTGAACTCCCATATGGCCGACTATGGTTTGAATCCAGAACCTGGCGCTTTGCTTTCTCACTTTCCCTCCCTCTCTCTCTCTCTCTCTCTGTCCCTCTCTGGTCAAATTAAAATGAATGAATAAATAAATAAATAAATAAATAAAGTTAAATACAATAATTTGAAGAATATAGTGGCAAGACTAATGTTAAAATACTAATTTTAAAAAGGTATTATTAAAACAAACAAAATGAAACGAAACAAAGCAAAATATTCCCCGTGTATGAAGTGAGGGAAGAGCAGGAGTTCAGATTCCAGAAACTCCTGTGGAGGACTTTTTTTAAAAAAAGATTTTTGCTATAGGGCGCATGCTTGCCGGAGAGACAGAGAGAAAGAAAGTGAGAAATCAGCCCCGGGGAGGATGGCTACGCTGCAGTCCCTTCTCATCCATTCTCCTCTCGGGATTTTGGGCACACATGCCCGGTGTGAGGTTTTAGCCACCAGGTCCAGGACTTGAGCCACAGTCAGCTATGTGGGAGTCCAGCAACGTAACCATTATGCCACCTGCTGGTCCCTCCTGCAGGGACTTTTCACAGCTACTGAGACCAAGCTACAAACGCCACCTCAGTACTGGCAGAAAAATGTCAGGTCAGGTCACACAGCGCCCCCTAGAGCTCTCCTGGAGAGCTGAAGCTGGGCGCTGGAGTTTGACGACACATACAGGGCTGAAAGAGGCACCCTGGAGAAGGGCTGGTGCGAGCTCCGGAGCCCCGCGAGGCTCACCTGGTACCTCTGACTCTGGATCCTGGGCAGAGACAGCACGACCATCTTCCAGGCAAACATCTCCTGATACAGCTTGTACCTGCACTCCTCGATTGGCGGGTTCAAGTAGATGACTTGGTTGGTTATCCTCAGCTCATGAACAACGTTCTGCAAAACAAAGGTTTCCTTCGGTACTTGGCAATCCATTTCAACAAAGCGGTTTTTATATTTAACACTGTCTCTAAATTATAATTTCATGACTTCTGCACCACTCTCTCCCCGCCCCCACCCCACCAAGAGCCCAAGACAGTTAGAAGCCAGGGCAGGGGCTGCTTCCCCTCTTCCTGACTGCCCCCCTCCTGAGGGGGGAATGAAGGAGACTGCCGGCCACCCTGGGGGATGGCTTCTCACTTTATCTCAGTCTCTCTCTGGCAAGCACATGTGCCCTACAGCAGAGAAACAAACGAAATAGAAACATTTACTTGCATCTCTGGGACTCAACTTTTCTATTTTTAACTTACTATAAGGTACATGTACTTGTCTCAGAGAGAGAGAACAAAAGCGAGATCAACTCCCAGTGGAGATGGTTACACCAAAAAAAGGAGGATTTTTCCTTTCTCCCCTAGGGATCTGGGTGCACATCCACATGTGCTGCACATGGTTTTCAAGCCACCAGGTGTGGGACTTGAACCACATATTCAGTTGTGTGGGGTTCAGCCTTAACCATGTCACTGACTTGCCCGGGGACTCAGCATTTTGTAAACTATGCTTTGGGGATGAATACTATAATATTCAAAAGTCAAAACCATTTTTAAGCATTGAGAGAATAAAGGTAGTCTAGTGGAGGGAAAATGCCAGTTGTGCCAAGGTTAACCCTGTGCCGTCTTTTAGGCTTCTTCTTATGAGGCCTTCTTATGGGTGGGCGTAACACAAACTCTTTTCTTTTTCTTTTTTTTTTTTTAAGAGAGATTTTCATTATAGGGCATGTGATCTTGCCAGAGACAGAAAGTGAAAAATCACCCCTCGGGGCTGGCCACACCACAATCCCTTCTCTAGTCTCCTCTCGGGATTTTGGGCACACCCACACATGTGCCCAGTGTGAGTTTCAGGCCGCGGGGTCTGGGACTCAAATGCGGGAGACTACAGGGGAGTCCATTATGCCATGCGCTGGCCCCAACACAAATTCCCGTGAGCACTGAAAACACAGGCCCGGCTGGCCGACTGTGGAAGGTAGATGCCTCTGTAGCTGCCGCCCGGGGAACACTACCAAATTATAATTTCATGACTTCTGCACCACTCTCTCCCCGCCCCCACCCCACCAAGAGCCCAAGACAGTTAGAAGCCAGGGCAGGGGCTGCTTCCCCTCTTCCTGACTGCCCCCCTCCTGAGGGGGGAATGAAGAAGAGACTGCCGGCCACCCTGGGGGATGGCTTCTCACTTTATCTCAGTCTCTCTCTGGCAAGCACATGTGCCCTACAGCAGAGAAACAAACGAAATAGAAACATTTACTTGCATCTCTGGGACTCAACTTTTCTATTTTTAACTTACTATAAGGTACATGTACTTGTCTCAGAGAGAGAGAACAAAAGCGAGATCAACTCCCAGTGGAGATGGTTACACCAAAAAAAGGAGGATTTTTCCTTTCTCCCCTAGGGATCTGGGTGCACATCCACATGTGCTGCACATGGTTTTCAAGCCACCAGGTGTGGGACTTGAACCACATATTCAGTTGTGTGGGGTTCAGCCTTAACCATGTCACTGACTTGCCCGGGGACTCAGCATTTTGTAAACTATGCTTTGGGGATGAATACTATAATATTCAAAAGTCAAAACCATTTTTAAGCATTGAGAGAATAAAGGTAGTCTAGTGGAGGGAAAATGCCAGTTGTGCCAAGGTTAACCCTGTGCCGTCTTTTAGGCTTCTTCTTATGAGGCCTTCTTATGGGTGGGCGTAACACAAACTCTTTTCTTTTTCTTTTTTTTTTTTTAAGAGAGATTTTCATTATAGGGCATGTGATCTTGCCAGAGACAGAAAGTGAAAAATCACCCCTCGGGGCTGGCCACACCACAATCCCTTCTCTAGTCTCCTCTCGGGATTTTGGGCACACCCACACATGTGCCCAGTGTGAGTTTCAGGCCGCGGGGTCTGGGACTCAAATGCGGGAGACTACAGGGGAGTCCATTATGCCATGCGCTGGCCCCAACACAAATTCCCGTGAGCACTGAAAACACAGGCCCGGCTGGCCGACTGTTTTTTTTTCCTCTGTAGCTGCCGCCGGGACAGCCGCTGGGACCTGGGCACACCGTCCGATGGCACCGACTCCGGCGTCTCCAGAGCACGTGCTCCGCTCTAGCTGGCCACTCCTTCCACAGTGCAGGGCTCGGGACCACGCTGCTGCCTTCTTCCGCCAGGCGTGTACGGGGACTTTGTGAGGATGGTGGACACGCTGCCTGGTGCTGCGGCCTAAGCTCAGTGCGGCTGACTGCACTCAGTTCCCGGGACAGTTCAAGGTGTGAGCATGGGAAAGTAAGTGGCTTTGCCCCTCAGTGGAGGTTTTTCCTAGCATTTATTTCCCATCTTTTTAAGAGTCCTTTTTCTGCAATTTCAGCTTTATGGGAGCATTGCCGAGAAAGCACCAGAGTCAGCGCTATCCTGGCTTCTCTGTGCTGGTACCCACAGGGCAGGGCACGAGGACACTGGCTGGGGAGGACACAGTGGAGGGGAAGGGACCGCGGTGGGACCGTGCCCCGGGGGTGTGTCCTCCCCTCCCCATCTCTCTGGTGTATGTGCACGCCCTCTGCTAACTGCTCGGGGTTTGGGGAGAAAGACCACAGAGTAGCGTGCCCTCCTGACCACGGACAGGCCCGCAGGGCTGGGCACCTGCCACCCTGCACGGTTAAGGCGCTGCCTGCCAGGTGGCCTCACCGTGAGGCGACTCTTCACAGGGCCCTCCTAAGTGGAAGACTTCACTCACTGGCAAACAGGACACTGCGGGAAATACTCACTTTGATCTTTGGCTCTCCACCAGGCTTGTGACTGACTTGGGGAGCGTCCGTATCCATGTCAACTTCTGCTTTATCTTCGGCCTGTCCAAGAAGGACCTGAGTCCACGCTCTCAGGCCAGCTTGCAGACGGACACCCAGTATCCGTTCGATCTACAGAGAAGGCCAATATTAGAGAACAGTGCTTCCCAAAGCTGGCTCGCAGCATGCCGATGCGGAAGCAGTCAGTGTTCCAGGTCCAAGACAGACAGTTACTAAGCGTGGGCTCTACCTCGGCCCTATCGCACTCCCTGGCTGCAGGTACCTGCATCTCAGGGAGCCGAATGTTCTCATCCGGGGCCTCCTAAATCACCAATTCTCCCACTTAGGTGAGATAGGAACGGCAAGAGGCGGTTAAGGTGATATTTATTCAGTATAATAGAAGATTAACAGCAGTCCTTTCCTGGCAGCCTCGGAGATGCAACTAGGAAAACTATAATCTGGAGACTAGAAACCGAATCACTGTCCTTTAATAAGTAAAGAGGGGAAGTCTTCCCGATCTAGAACGAGGCAAACACAGCCCTACACACAGACAGTGGTGCACCTGTTAGCTGCCTGCCTCCAGCCACACAACCGGCCTAAAGGTGGGGCAGGCCACTGTACCGAAGCCCCCGACATTCAGGTGCTCTGTGGGCTTGGGAGCAGGGATTGTTCATTTTCACCCTGTAAGTGTCGCCCTGTGTAGATACACTTCAACTTACTTATCCATTTTAAGAGAAAAAGGAGAAAACCACAAACAGCTTGGGAATAGACCAAGTGTATCCATATCTGTCATGAAATATCCTCTCCCCAAGACCAGTAAGCTACTAAGTCCTGCAGACGGTAAGCACTCCCAACGCACTCCCTCGTAGAGCCCGGATCCCACGCACAGGGCTTTCTACCCTGGGAGGGGAAAGGGCAGAATTGTCAGAGAAGCTGCTGGGAGAGCAAGAAGAGAGCCCCAACCACGCGGAGAGCAGGGAAGCGCAAACGGAAGGCTGGCGCGTCCGGAGGATGAAGCGGCCCATTCTCCCCCCAGCTGTTTCCACACAGAGGCCCTGTGAGGACGGGCGCGTGGGACTGCGGATCAGCGCGATCACCGTCACCATCAGGGTCCCAGTCGCTGGCACTCTGGAGGGAGCTGGACGAGAGGTAATTTCTGCGGAAAACCCCTTTCAGAGACAACTGGCGCACTCACTGAACACGGCCCCCTCCCCGGCAGCGGCACACACTAGCGGGGCCCGCCCTCACCTCCATGTCCAGCTTGTTGACCCAGATGGGCAGATTGGAGTAGGAATGCAGATTTAGGTCATCCACGGCTTTCTGGACTCGGTTCAAGATCTCGGAGAAGGTCTTGTGGTCGTACATGCACGTCTCCAGGGAGCGCACCTCCAGGTCTATTTTTTCTTCAATAATCAGCAGGTCGTCCACCTAAATGTTCAACGACTACAATGTAATAAAAGCCCTCACTCCACTCTTTCATCTTTATAAACATTTTTCACGGAAGTTCTCCTGTGGACGGCTAACCCAATGCGCTGGGTGAGGAGCCCTCCCACTCCTGCACCCTCACGGAGGGCGGGAATCTGTGGACACCAGCCGCCTCTCCCCCTCCACTGTGCACAGCAGGACAGGCTCGGAGAAGGGAGTGGCTACGCCTGCTCAGCCTCCTGTGCCCGGGGCAGCCTGTGCTCCAGTCAGGAAGCCTGCAACTGCCCAGCTCCCAGAGGCTGGGAAGAGCCAAATTCTGGGGTGGATCCTGGGCAGGCGTGAGCACTGCAGACCTGGAGGGTGTGTCCCACTCAGCTGCCTGTCAAGACTCCTGTGGCCTTTGTGCCACTGGCCCCTAGAGTCCGTGGCACCTCATGCCTCCCATGGTGAGTAAAACGGCCCCCCGTTCACAGTTGCCCTCACGGCCTACACCGTACCGACCCGTGTGCCTTCCGTGGGAGAGTCCATGATGTGGGTCGGCCACGGCTCGGTTCAAAGCATGACTTGGGCGCTGCGGGGAGTCAGAGCTCACCTTCTCCTGGAAGTTGAAGACCGTCTCTGCCAGGCGCTGCACGTAGGGGTCGAGTTTGTACGACTCCCACACCAGCGCGATGCCTTCTGCAATCAGAGCCTGCACTTCCTTCTTCAAGCCGGCCACCAGGAGCGAGATGGTGCTGCGCTCCTCCACTTTCTCACAGGTCCGCTCGTACGTACGGACGCTTTCGATCAGCGAGATGGCAAACGGGTAGAGCTGGTTTGCCTGGTGGGCCTTGTTCACAATGGCCAGGGGCACTCGGAAACCCAGCCACTTGAGGTTCCGCACCTCCTTAGAAAGTGTGATGATTTCAGGAAGGAAGTTCACTTTCAGCTTAAGGACGTTCCCGCTGCGGCCCCGGACGCGAGTGCTCTCGATGGTGAAGATGCGCCCCGAGACGCCCAGGTTGCGCTGCTGCACCTTCCGCGCCCAGTCGTCGAAGATCTCCTGGGTGTTGAGCTTCATGCGGAAGCTGTCCCCGTCCTGCTTCAGCTTCTGCCCTTCCACGTGGTTCTCCCAGCCCTTGCCCAGGACGTCTTCCACGCGCTTCATGTAGGCAGTCAGCTGCCTGTCGATCTGCTTGGCCCAGATGATGGACCCCGACACTGGGGGCAGGTCCCGCACGTGGCTCATCTTACAAGCCTGGCTTTGTGGGTACTGGACCTTGAACTTGTCATGGAGAGACTCGATGTCGTCCTTCACGCGCTGGATCAGCTGGGTCTGGTACTCGCGGATGGCCCCGCGGATGTGCGGCCTGACGAAGAGCGCGTTGAACCTGGAGAAGATCCTAAACATCTCGTTGGCGTTCTTGGCCGTGCCCAGCTGGTCCCGGAGGCGAGCCGTGATGCGGGTCTCCACTCTGTCGATCCGCTCGTCGTACCGCTTCATCGCGGCCTCCCAGGCTTCCGTGCCCTCCTTGGACACGTCCAGCCCGTCCACTTCCTTGACGTTCTCGTACGCGAGGTTGACCTCCTCGATGGCATTCGCGTCAGCGGCATCAAAGAGAACCTCAGCCACTTTCATGTCCTGGGGCTCAGGAACCTCTCCCTGATTCTGCTGCGCAACTGCTGTGACCTGCAAGGGATCGGAGAAGGCGCTCACCGAAAGATTTTCATTCTGTTGTCAACACCACGCAAAGATTACTAGCCAGCAACTTAGGCTTTTAAACTTCTAGCCAAATAGTTTATAAACACAACTCAGTAAGGCCAAGGAAAATCCCAAAGGGTGTAATTTTCACTTTTCACTGAAGATTTTCTGACAATGCAGTTTTGCTGGAATTGTTTTTCTTTTTTTTTTTAAATTGCCAGAGTGTAACATGTGTTCCTCAGAGAGAGGGATGGAGCTGGGAGAGGGGAAGAAAGCACCGCCAAATGGGTGTGGTCATGCTGGAATCCCTTCTCCATTTCTCCACCTCATCAAGGTTGTGGGCATGTACACACACACGCCTGCCATGTTTTTCAAGCTGCCTGACCTGGGTTCAAGCAATGGTCGATCATGTGGGATTTGGCTCCCTTAAACACTGAGCTAGGGGGCTCAGATAAAAAATTAAACAACAACAACAACAAAACTAAAATGGGGCCAACAGGCAGTGTGGTGGATAAGGGTGCTTGATTCCCACATGGCCGACCATGGTTTGAGTCCCAGATCTGATGGCTTGCTTTCTCGCCTTCCCTTTCTCTCTCTCTCTGGTGGTCAAATAAAAAACAAACAAACAAACAAAAAACAAAATAAACAAACAAAAAACCCATTAACAATAGCACTGAGCTAGGGGACTGGGCCTATTAGAGTAAGTAGTTATTATTATTATTATTTTGGTTTTTGCCATAGGGCACAGGTTGTCGCTGGAGAGAAACAGAGAGGGAAAGTAAGCGATGACCCCTGGTAGGGATGGACATGCTGCGATCCCTTCTCCTCCTGGGATGTTAGGTATGCATACATGTGTGCCTGGTGTGAATTCCAAGTCACCAGGTCTAGGGCTGGAACTGCAGCTGACCACGTGGGAGTCCAGCTGCCTTCAGAAACAATCCACCTGCTTGAGCAAATTTCTTAAAGGAAATAAAGAACTGGTGAAGAGAGAAAGGGGATTCCAGAAGAGACAGGCAGGGAGTAGCCACCCCATCCCTCTACTCCACCGCGGGCGGCTGCAGTTACAGCACGGTTTCAGAGGACAGCGCTGAGGAAGAGGCTCAGGAACGTGCTCAGGTCACGCAGCAAGTAGATTGTGAGACTGGGGTTCAAAACCCAGGAATCCCAGGGCCAGTAGGGAGCATGGAGATTAAGGCACTGAATTCCCACATGGCCAACCACGGTCCAAGTCCCAGACCCAGCGGCTTGAAAATCACACTGGGCACATGTCCACACTCACCCCAAATCCCAGGAGAATGGAGAAGAGATTGCACTGTGGCCACCCCTCAGGGGTGATTTCTCACTTTCCCTCTCTGTCTCTCTCTGGCAAGCACACCCTCCCTCTGGCAAAAACCTAAGGAAAAAATAAACTGGGAATTTGGGTGCAGCGCCCACCGGAGGTGGGGAAGGAATGGACGGCTGGGGGGCAGAAGATTTGATCTGAACCAACAGGACGCCGAATCACGAGGTCTGAAAGACGACCACGACAAGACGGGAGTGGAGCCGAGCAAGTGGACAGCGGCACACGGAAGGCGCCAAAGCAGCGGGGCGGGCGGCTGCGCACCTGCGGCCGCAGCACCCGGACGATGACGGCGCGCAGCTGCTCGTGCTGGCGGCGGAACTTGCGCATCTGGTCCAGGCGCGCCTGCAGCTTCCGGTGGGCGGGGTTGATGCGCCACACCATCTTCAGGTTCTCCTCCCGCTTCCTTTTGACGATGTCTCTCAGCAACACCTGCAGCTTCTCGTACTCGTCGTCCCAGGTCTGGAAAACCTCAAAGCACGCGACCATCACCTAGATGTGATAGAGAAAAGCTCGTTAGCACTTCTGTGTGCTCCCAGCCCTGCGCCGGGAAGCTGCTTTTCCAACAATCTAAAACGCACCTTTTCGAACTCTTCATAAGCAACGTGCATCAGTTTCCTCGTGCCCAGCACTTTGAGGAGCTGAGAACTCAAGTCTCTTGAAATGGCCTCCACCAGGCGCAGCGCCCTCTGGATGGGGTACTTGGTGTTGCGGATCTTTCTCAGATGGGTGAAGATGGCCACAAGCGCCTGGCGGATCTTGTCCAGCTCAGTGGCCGACAGCAGGTCGTTCAGGGGGAAGTCCTTCATCAGCGGGTTGTAGTCGTTCACCGTCTCCAGGGCCTGTTTCAGACCTGCATCCACAGAGAACGGCGGGAACTGAAATACACCCTTACAATGGAACTTTCTTTTTTAAACTTGCCAGAGGGCCCATGTGTTCACCAGAGAAAGACAGAGAGACACAGAGAGGGGGAGAAAGCAGCTGCCGCCCCAGGGATGGTCACCCACAATCCCATTTCGGCCTCTCCCTCCTCGGGATTTTGGGCCAGCACATACACACCCAGCATGTCTCTTAAGCCACCGGGTCCGTACAGTGACCCTGTGGGAAATGGTCCTTTAACCTCCAGGCCACAGGGCCAGCCTACCACGAAATGTTTTGGTGTTGCAGAAGGTCTGGCGATACAAAAACCGGGTAGGATGTTAGAAAAAGAAGGTGTGCTGATTCAGAGGACAATTCAGGGTGTCCTGTCCTTGCTGCTCTGAGTATGTGGGTCAGTGCACACACTCTAAGGGCTGAGTGACAGCCTTAGAGGTTGTTCCTCTTCTTGCTTTCTACATTATCTCCACCTCCTATCAATAACAACTAAATTTAGAAAACTAACATTTTTATGATCCTTAAGAGCACTGAAACCTTGTTAAGGGAATCCATGGCCCAAGTTAGATGAGCTGTTACTATGCACGTGGAATCACAGATGCACCAGGGTCTTGTCTTTTTCTTTTTCCTTAAAAATTTTTTTGGTTGGGGACCAGCAGGTGGCGTGATGGTTAAGGGGCTGGACCCTCCCACGTAGCCAACCACAGTTCGAGTCCTGGACCTGACGGCTTGCTTTCGCACTTTCTCTCTCACTCTCTCTCTCTCACTCTCTCTCCCCCTCTATGTCTCACTCTTATAAAATTTAACAAAAATGATAATAAATGAATGAATGAAATTAAATAAATAATTATTTAAAACATTTTGTTGTTATAGGGCACATGTGCTTGCAAGAGACAGAGTAAGAGAGAAAGCGAGAACGCACCCCCAGGGAAGATGGTCGTGCTACAATCCCTTCTACTCTGTTCTGCGATTTCCAGCATTCGCGCACACACACCTTGTGTGTGTTTAGGCCACCGTGCCCAGGACTCCAATCATGCTGTGGGCCCTGTAGGATCCAGCCACCTAACCACACCACCAGCTTGCTTCCCTCCCTTTTATTTTTGGAGAGGTTTTCGCTATAGGGCGCGTGCGCTCGCCAGACAGAGAGAGACATAGAGACAGAAAGCAAGAAATCACCCCCCCAGGGGGAATGGTCATGCCGCGATCCCTTCTCCTCCATTCTCCTCTCAGGATCTTGGGCACGCACACACACGTGCCCGGCGTGAGTTTTAAGCCACTGGGTCCGGGACGCGAACCGCGGTCGACTATGTGGGAGTCCAGCGACATAGCCATTATGCTAACTGCTGGTTCCCCCCTCCCTTTTTTTGTAATACGGAGAAGGAAAGTTGTCTTTTTCCTTTTTCTTTTCTTTTTTTTTTGGACAGAGGGTATACGCATTTGCCAGAGAAAGACAGAGAGGGGATGAGGAAGAGGAAGAGAGCGTCTCCCCATGAGGCAGGCTCCTATTGCAATCCCTCCTCCTTTCCCACATCCTGCCAGGATCCCGGGTGCATGTGTGCACACCTGCCTGGTGTTTCCCAAGATTTCAGCCAGGATTTCAATCACGTGGCTGGCCACACAGGATCCAGCTCCCTTTGCCACCAGGCTATGGGGTTATCCTGAGACAGGTATTTCAACAGTGTCTTGCCATGTCATGACCCTCCGGGCCCAGCCTGCCCGTTAGCTAGGACCACAGCAACAGGCTGCTCTGCCGGACTTTTTGGGTTGGGTGGGAACCACACCCAGGCCTCCCATGCGGCCCCAGCCTCACACAGCAATGGCCTCCTGCCTGGGCCGCCATGACTGTGGGCCTCTAGTCTATTTCTCGACTTCCCCTGGCTTAAGATAAACATATTAGGGGAAAAATGGAATGTTTTGGGGTATTAAAAAAAATCAAGGTACAGATGTGTTCGTGAGCACCCAGGTGATACGCAGTGTGGTCAAACTGGAAGGTCTCTGCTTGGGATTTCCTCACATTTAAAAGGTGGAGAACCCCCTCCCCGCCATTTTCAGGGAAGAGGGACAAGGCCATCGCCGTAGCCCCAATGGCTTGCTCTGCCCGTCTCTGTGGGCACAGACGTGTACAGGAACGCCTGCAGCACCAGGGCACTCACGTGTGCCTGGTGTGTTAGTGCAACTTCACTCGCACTGTTCCCCTCTCAGAAAGCCACAATTATTTAGAAAGGTGAGAAAGGAGCCTAGAGAGGAAGGCAGGGTAGCAGTAGGACTAGCCAGCCCTCCTCCCACAGGGCTCCAGCTGACGGCTTCTCTCAGCCTAAACTACCCTGCTGCCCAGACTGTCATGGGTGTACTTGGCTTCATGCCAACGAAAGGAGAGCCACCTGCGGAACCAAGCAGCTGAGGAACAGGAGGGAAACTCCCAGGGCCTGCGACACTCTGCCTAGAAACCGGCTTGTGCCCGATGGGAAGGGCGGCTGTGTGGGGAGGTGGTTTTCCTGCCCTGGAAATAGGGGAGATGCAAAGCCAGGTCGGAATCCATGGCTCTCAACACCAGCTCTAGTCTGCACCTGTGTCGGTGTCGAAGCTGACAGTGGCGTGGAAGCGTTTGCCGTGCTTCAGGATATCCAGAGTCAGGAGGACCTCCGGGCTCTCCCGTTTCTCTTGGATGCGGTATAACGCACGTTCCAAGTTGAGCCAAAAACTAATCTCCTGTAAGGCAGTTCCTGACGCGGGGTCTCGATCGAGTTTGGTCACCTTTGAAGATAAAATAACATTCACGGGTATTCACTATTTAAACAAAAGTAAGAGTATCCTTAACTGAACACTCAAGCATTATAACTTAATTTTATTTATATTTCAAGATTTCCTCTTTTGTAAATTAAAAGTAGTTTGATTCAAAGTCAAAGGTTTGAGACTGCTGAGGTTAACACTAACAGAGTTAATATTTCAACCACTTCAAACTGTACCCTGACCATTACAGACCAACTCCAGTCCCATTTGTTTAAGCATTCCCAGGACTGAGTGGGGTTAGCACTAAGTTACCCCAGGATTTACCTCCTTGACAGACCTCAGGCCAGCTTCCCCAGGTACTTAAGGGTAACGCATCTTACACGATACTTTCAAGTAAGTTCTCTTACTTTCTGAATTTCTCTGATCCAGCGGTTAACTCCAGACTGTAACTGATTGAGAAAAGTTGGGTCTTCAACTTTATCACCAAAGTCTGTAACTTTGGGCTTTTCTCCACGCTCATAACACTGTTTTGCCACATTGGTAATAATTGGATGAATCGGTAGGCTGATTTCTGGGATTTCGATGTTTTGCTGCAAATGCAGGAGGCCCATCTCAAGTTCTGCAATCTTTTTTTCAACTGAAGGAGCCATTTTATCACCATCCCTAAAAAAGACAAGAAATATCTTAAAATTTAGTACATTACGGGTCTTCAAAAAGATTCTATTATTTTGGGTCTATTCGGTATTAATAACACACATATTTGTTAATGCAAAGGATTTCTATTGTCTCTGGATTGCTAACTTTATCCTCCCAATCCTCGAGTTTCACATCATCTTCCATACTGTCTTCTGAATATTAAGTGAAATACGACATTCAAACCACAGAAGGAAAAACAGTTTTTACCTGTCTGCCTTGCCGGACTCTCTGATATAGGACTTAAAAAAAGGAGCCACCGCATTGCTTATGAAAGAATGCAATGTCTCGTATGGCGAGTCTTCACTGAGTGTGAGAACCCGGAGCTGAGAAGATACCGGTTTATCTGCATCAATTACAGGAGTTCGTTTAATGAATGCCAAGCTAAAAAGAAAGCAAAAACAAGAAATTAGAACCAAGCATGCCATTCTCATTCCTCACTGGTCTTTTTTTATTTTTTTAAAACAATTATTTTATTTAATTTCATTCACTGTTATTATTTTATCTTATTTCTTTGAAGTTGACCAGAGAGAGGCAAAGAGAGAGAAAGTGAGAAAACAAGCTTCCCGGTCTGGGACTCAAACCATGGTCAGCCACGTGGGAGTCCAGTCGCCTTAACCACCACACCATCTGCTGGCCCCATCATTAGTCTTGATCATTGTATTGTGGCCTTATTTGTGTTGTGTAAGTCAAACCCACGTGAATGTTGAATTTAGAAATCGCATTAAAAATAGGGACCAGCAGTTAGCGTAATGGCTATGTTGCTGGACTCCCACATAGTCGACCGCGGTTCAAGTCCCAGACCCGGTGGTTTAAACTCATGCTGGGCACATGTGCGTGCATACCCAAGATCCCAAGAGGAGAATGGAGGAGAAGGGATTGTGGCGTGGCCACCCCCCCTGGGGGGTGATTTCTCGCTTTCTATCTCTCTCTCTCTCTGTCTGTCTGGCGAGCGCACGTGCCCTATAGCAAAAAACCTCTCCAAAAAAAGAAAAAAAAAAAAGACGAAGGTGTTGCTTTTCTAAAAGTGAAATGTACTGCTTGCCTGGTCTGAACTTCCTACGGACAGCCCTGAATCGAGGCTATGGTTAGCGCCCCGGGCCACCAAACTAGGCAAGCTGGCTGGTCTCTGAGTAGACTAGATTCATAACCTTGGCCTAATCGACCTTGCCTCAGGAACTGCAGGTTACAAGCTAAGATGTATTAAATTCTGACCTTACACTCATTTGTACCATTCACTGACTTTGATCAACAAAGCAGTTCCGAGGCTGAAGTGACAAGCAGGCACTCCAGGCTCCTTTGAGTCTCACCCCTGCTGTGCAGTCTCACCTCTGCTGTGCACCCTCTTCCCACCCTGAGACACCACTTAAACTAGACCTTCCTTTCCCAAACACTTCATATGCCTTGTGTTTTTGCATAAGAAATCTGTATCTGGGGCCAGCAGGTGGCATGGTGGTTGGGGTGGTGGACTCCCACCAAGGCTGACAGTGGTTCGAGTCTCAGACCTGGAGGCTTGCTTTCTCACTTTCCCTCCTCTCTCTGTCTCTCTCTGATGAGCGTGTGTGCCCTGTAGTAAAGTAATAATAATAAAAATAATGATGATGAATAAAATTAAATCATTATTAAAAAAAAAAAAGAGGGGCCAGCATGTGGTGTGGTGGTTACAGAGCTGGACTCCCACATGGCCAACTGGTGTTCAAGTCCTGGACCAGGAAGCTTAAACTCATACCAGGTGCACGCATGTGCTTGCGTGCTCAAAATCCCAAGAGGAGACTGGAGAAGGGATTCTGGTGTGGCTATCTTCCCTGGGGGTGATTTCTTGCTTTCTGTATAGCTCTGTTTCTCCAGCAAGCGCACGTGCCCTATAGCAAAAATTTCTCGGGAAAAAAAAAAAAATTTCTCCAAGAGGAGAATGGAGGAGAGGGTACTGTGGTGTGGCCATCCCCTCAGGGGGTAATCATTTCTCACTTTCCCTCTATCTGTCTCTCTCTGGCAAATGCACAAACCTCATGGGAAAAACCTTGAAAAAAAAAAGTTGGGCCAGCAGGTGGGGTGGAGGTTAAGGTGCTGGATCCCACATGGTTGCTTTCGTGGTCCGAGTCCCAGACGCAGTGGCCAGAAAAATCACACTGAGCATGTATAAGTGCATGCCCAAAATCCTGCAAGGAGAAATGGAGGAGAAGGGACATGGCATGGCCATAACCCCTGGGGATGATCTCTCTCTCTCTCTCTGTCTCTCTTGGGAGGGCACACACCCTATAGCAAACATTGGGAAAAAAATTTAAAAAGAGAGATTTAAAAACTAGGAAGTGGGGGCCAGACGGCAGCGCAGTGGTAACAGCACTGAGGCAGATGCACAAGGACGGTTGGCTTCTGAACAGACTTCCCTGTACCTGCCAGGAATGTCTGTGCCTGTGATCTGGAGTGGGCAGAAACTGGGGGCAACCGCGGTGTGAAGATCCTGTGGGGGTCTCTCTCCGTCCACAAGAATGCTTACCAGCTGTAATCGTGAAGGACCAGCTCTGACCCGAGAGTGTTACTGGGTATGTTAAATGCACCACAGCGCAGGAGGACACCATGACACGGCAAATTCACACTCTCAACTTCAGCATTTAGGCTGACTGGGAGATCTTAATTTGAACGCATGAAATCTAAAATACTGAATTTAAAGAGTAGAAACTTTTGGGGTCAGCAGGTGGCGTGGTGGTTAACGGTGCTGGACTCCCACATGACCGACCGTGGTTCAAGTCCTGGACCTGGCAGCTTCCCATTCTCTCTTTCTCTATGTCCCTCACTGGTCAAATTAAAATAAATAAATAAGGGGCCAGCAGGTGGCATAGTGGTTGGGGGCACTGGACTCCCACATAGCCTACTGCAGTTCAAATCCCAGACCTGGTGACTAGCCTTCTCACTTTCCCCTCCCCTCTCTCACTCTGGACCCTCTCTGGTCAAATTAAAATAAACAAACAAAGTTAAAAAAATAAAAAAAAAAAAAGAAAAGAAAGAAGAGTTCACACTCTTGCATGCTTCCTAACGTGTCTGCCTGAGTCAATTCACACTGAGGCAGGGTATACTCATACTACTCACCTGTTGGACTTCACTCCGTAATGGATGTCTATGTTGATGTTATAGGAAATGAATTCTTTTTCTTCTTCTCCTTCATCACCAACATCCTCTACAAATTATAATAAATATGATATCAAATTCATATCAACATTTCCAAGTTATTATTGATCATCTGCTCAGAGAATGATGATTCTCACCCCACCCTAACTTGACATTTAACCCCCCACGTAATTTGACAATACTTAATTTTTTTTTTTTTTTAATTTGTAGAGGCTTTTGCCTTAGGTAAGAAAGACAGAGACAGTAAGAGGGAAAGTAAGAAATCACCACCACCACCACCACCACCCGGGGATGGCCACGCCACAATCCCTTCTCCTCCATTCTCCTCCCGGGATCTTGGGCACGCACACGCAGGCACCTGGCATGAGTTTCAAGCCACCATCCAGGAACTGAACTGTGGTCAGCCACATGGGAGTCCAGTGATGCAATGCCTCGCCATGTGCTGTCCCCCGAATTTTTTTTTAAATAATAAAAATTTTTTGCTATAGAGCGCATGCATTTGCTAGAGACAGAAAGACGGAGAGAGAGGGAAAGTGAGAAAACACCTCCCAGGGGGGATGGGATGGCCACACTGCAATCCCTTCTCCTTCATTTTTCTCTTGGGATTTTGGGCACACACATACACCTGGCATGTTCTTCTAGCCACCAGGTCCGAGGCCCAACTGCACACTTGGCCATGTGGGCTCCAGCTACCTAAACCACCACACCACCAGCTGGCCCACCCTCCCCATTTTTCCTGACCCCTGACTTGGTTGTATATTTGCTATGTGATCTTGGGCAACGTGGCTAACTTCTGTGCACCGCCAGTTCTTGCCTGGGCTGCTGGAAGGATTAAGCTAGTTTTGCAGGTGACTGGGGGAGCAGGGCCTTGCCTGGGGGCAGTGCAGCTGGTGGTGGCTCTTACCAAGTTCTCCAGGCTCAATCCCAGGAGTTGCACCCCGTGCTCCAAACACAGAGGTCACGTTCCACTCCCACCCAAGAATGTTCTGCTCAGCTGTTTACTCAGCACTTCACGCACACTACACGTTTGCCCTATGGGGTTCGCCGTCGTCATCCTGTCTCCAGGTGAAGAACCCAGGTGACTTGCTTACAGACACTCAGCTGGAAAACAGCGAAGCAGGCACTCGGGAGTGCGATTTCAAAGCCCGGGCTCCTTCCCAGCATGGCCAGTCTTCCTCAAGGCCAGGCCTAGGCAAACCGCTAAGAAAACGGTCATCTCAAGAAACATTCCCCAGGAGCCAGCAGACGGTGTAGCGGTTACGTCACTGGACTCTCACATGGCCGACCATGGTTCAAGTCTTGGACCTGGTGGCTTGAAACTCACGCCGGGCGAGTGAGAGTGTGTGCCCAAGATCCTGGGAGGAGAAGGGACTGCAGTGTGGCCAACCCCACGCCCCCACTCGGGAGTGATTTGTCACTTTCCCCCTCACTGTGTCTGTCCCCAGGAGCAGCGAGCGGCACCCAGCCAGTCCTCCCCCGGTCCATCAAGGCCCTTTCCAGAGCTGGGTTTATGAATGCACCCCCTCTCCACATCGGTGTGCTCTTAGAGGGCAGAGGCCGCACTAGCGTCCACACAGCATAACCCTGTACACAGCGGCCGTTTCTAACGCGTTAGCCTGCTGGAACTCAGCCTCAAGGCGCGTGAACCACATTTCTAAACCATTTAAAAAAGTTGAAAACCTAAAATGTGAAAATAGGCAGTAATCCAAATCTGCACATCCGGGACTAATCTACGAAGACAGCCGAACAGCCTGGCTGAGTCCTCTTGGTGGTGACAGTGTAAAATACCCATGTCAACACAAAGTGCCACATGCAGACCACGGAACACAACTGCGTCCCCATGGTTCACTGGCACTTTTAGGTCCTGAGGTAAAAGAACAGACTTAGAAACTAAGGGATCTTTGGGAAGCCATTTTTCCTCCGTGGGCTTCAAATTCATGAGATGCAAATGGGTGGTGGAGGGAGGGTGGGATGCCGAACCAGGTGGCCCACGAGGTTTCTTTAAGCTCTAAAAACTGAAAATCTGGGTGTCTAAAGGCTGAGCAAAAGCTCTCTGCTCCATTTGTTTTAAAGATGCCACAGATATAATTCACACAAAAAGATTAAAAAGTTAATAAATTTATCAGGAAGATAATAAGTCTTCCAAATTGTCATTTTTGATATAATTTTAGGAAGAGGAGGAAGGAGCAAGTGACAGAACGAACATTCTAGTATGCCAGGAACTTTCTAGTTGTTTTTGTTTTTTTTTTTTAAAAAAAAAAACACCTACAATGCACCCGTAGGTGGCATGGTGGCTAAGGTGCTAGACTGCCACATGGCCAATGGCAATTCAAGTCCCGGACCTGGTGGCTTGTTTTCTCACTCTCTTTCTCTGGTGAATCCACATGCTCTATAGCAAATTAAATAATAGTAAGTATTTTTAAAAACATTTATAAATGTTTTTATTTTTAAAAATATTTATAAATGTTTTTAAAACCTATAAAAAATAGACTGATCAACTGATTTTTCTAACCATTCAAATGTGGCCACAGCACAGGATGAACTGCGCTGCTGGAAACCAGTTACACGTTATGCCTGTACAATAAAACGCAATGCATGGGGGCTGGCAGGTGGCAGGCGGCTAAGGATGCACAAGGCCAACCACAGTTCGAGGGCCGGACCTGGCAACTTGCTTCCTCACTCCCCCACTCCCTGTATCTCGCTGGTCAAATTAAAATAAAGTTAAATAAAATAACTCTTTTTTAAAAATGCAAGCATATGAACAGAGAATAGGAAGAAATAACCACAAACTAAAATGGTTGTCAGGGTAGGGGATTATGAAATGCTTTTCTTTCAGTTTTCTGCAATTTTCACAGTACTGTTCAATGATTCATATAAAATATGCCATCAAAATAAAAGCCAGACAATATCCAGAAATTAAACGTTATGTTCTCTAATCGCCAGAGGAAACCATGGCACAACTAAACACATGGCATGTTAACTGAGCCACTGCCTGCTCCCAGATGAAGACTCATGTATTCAGGAAACCACACAGGACACGCAGTCTGCACCGACTGCTGGAGCCTGAGCCACGGCACTTCCTACTACCAGCAGGGCCAGGGCGCAGCACCATTCCCAGCGTGAGTCACGGGCTCCCCAGCCCCACGGGGCGGAGCCCACAGCTCCAGCTCTGGGCCAGGAGCACCGCAATGCAGCAAAGCAGCAGAACCCTGCTGGCTGCAGGAAGGCCAGGCCCAGTCCTCAGCTAGTCGGTGGGGTGGGGTGCGGACAGGAGCCTGCTGCGGCTGGAGCCCTAACTTCTCAGGACAACAGCAATGCATGGAATTCCATCAGCACTGCTTGGTCTCCCACACGCTCTGGATCCGTCTTTCTATGCACATTTCCTAGAAGTACAGAGACCAATGGAGTCTGAGTATGTCTGACTCCCACTAGTTTACAGGACTGCTGATCGCTTATAAACTGCCATGAGAAGTTTGCCCCCTGTCACATCTCTACATGGTTGTGTCTTCCACACCTGTTTCTCGCGTGTACGAAGGCATTCAGCACTGGTCTGGATAACTCCTATGGAAGACTAGCGTGCCGTGCGTGTAAAAGATGCAAGCACCGTGACCTGAAGGATCCCGCCCTCTCCCAGTATACGTGCTGGAGCAGGGACAGGCCCTGGGAAGGGCCAGGGGAGGCCGCCTGACTCCTTACACCGAGGGTCATTCCCTCCTCCCTCCCACCTTCCCAGCTGCAGAGCAAGTCTCTCCACCCAGCGGAGGAGGCTGCTATTCCCTTTGGTCCATGGTCACAACCAAATGACTTGACTTGTTCTCTTTCTCTTTCATCTGCTTTCCCTCTTAAAATCCAAACATATACCCCATAATTCTTTTCTAAGAATTATTTATTTCATTTTTTTGGTTATCATTATTTTCTAATTTGACCAGAGAGAGAAAGAAAGCAAGCTGCCAGGTTCTGGACTCGAACTGTGGCCAGTCATATGGGAGTTCATGGCTGACTGTGTGGTTCAAGCCCCAACCACCTTGCTGCCTGCCAGTCCCATACACCACATGATTGTGGCCATCACTGTCACACGTCATCCCCCTTTCTCACGTCGCTTTAGTCTTCCCGTCCCCATCCCTAGATCCACCCTCTGGTCTCTGAACTCCCGAGGAGCTGCGGCTTCTGCACCGCACCACGTTCGGCTCTGGAAGGCCGGCTCTGGAACACCGTCAGAGCGTGAGGAGGAAGCCTGGGGCTCTCCTCAACCTGAACACGCCCACTGACCTCGTAGGCAGGAAGGAGGGTAAAAGAAAAAGGAATCAAAAACACTGGTAAGTCATTAATGCCTAAGGAACTTAAGGCTTAGCACTTTTTAAGTTAATACTAATTCAAAAGAAATAACTGATCTGAACTGGATTAAAACAAACACTCTCATCTTAATGGATGCCGAGGAATTGCAGAGATTCAACTGAAGGTTCTAGATTCCTTTTTAGTTGGGACCAGCAGAGGGCTCCCCTGCAGCTAACCATGGTTCAGCGTGCCCAAGATCCCAGGAGGAGAATGGGAGAAAAGGGACTGTGGCGTGGCCATTCCCACTGGGGGTGATAACTCACTTTCTGTCTCTCTGTCTCTCTAGTGAGTGCATGTGCCCTGTAGCAAAAATCTGTACTAAAAAAAAAAAAAAAGGAATTATTTTTTGTTGCCGCCCCCCCAGTTTGTTATAGGGTGGGTGCACTCACCAGATAGAGATAAGAGAGAGACAGAGAGGGAAAGTGAGAAAACACTCACGGGGGATGGCCACACTACAATCCCTTCTCCCCCATTCTCCTCTCTGGATTTTGGGCACGCATGCACATGCACCTGGTGTTTCTCAAGCACCAGGTCTGGGACTTGAACCTTACCGTCAGCCATGAGAGATTCACCACCTTAACTTCTGTGTCTCCTTCCATGACCCCCTTCCCCCAGCCCTCCAGTTCCTCAGGATCTCCTGCAGCCTCACACAGCCAGCAAGTTTGTTCCCAGGCTGACCTATGGGGTCCAAACCTGCTGTCTACGTGTGGCTTCCAGCACTCATTCTGGTAGGCCAAGGACTGTGCTAGGCCTTAGAAAAGCTGGGCCTCAGAAAATAGGAAAATTAAAAAAGACCCAGAAGCCAGCCTGGTGTCAAGCCCATAGCAAACTGCACTGCAGTGCTGCAAGCCTGCAGGTCTGGATCCCTGAGCTGGCTTGAAAATGAGCTGGGTGTGTGAGTGCCCCGGGTCCTGACACACTGCAGTGCTGGGGGACTACGGCATGGCTACACCACTGTGTCAAGGGTGTCCCCCCCATGTGTGAACACATGCTATCATGAATAAAATAAACAAACATTTTTGGAGAGATTTTTGCTATAGGTTGCGTGCACTTGCTGAAGAGATTGAGAGACAGAGAAAAGCAAGCAAGAGATACCCCCCTGGAGGGATGGCCACACTGCAGTCTCTTCTCCATTCTCCTCTTGGGATCTTGGACACCCATGCACGCCCAGTGTGAGGTTTTTTTTTGGGGTCTCCAGGTCCAGGACTTGAACCATGGCCAACTAGGTGGGACTCCAGCAATGTAACCATTATGCCATCTGCTGGTCCCAATAAGCTGGTCTCAATAAACATTAAAAAATACCTCCCAGACGCATTCCCAACAAGACCTTCCATCCCTCTGGGGCTGAGGACTGCACTGCACACTCCGGTCCCAGCCTCTCTGCACGAATGAAAAGGAGGTGAAACTCCCAAATTACTGCCCTCAGGAAAAACTGCAATTCTGAGCTTGAGAGAAGCACTCACCAAAGGCAGCCGCTGCTCGTGGTTATAAAGACCAAGTTCCAGCCACACAGTGAACGACAGCGAAGTAAAACAAGACATGGCCACGCGGGCCGGCCCAGCGCCTGACCCCTGCCTGCTCGGACACCGTCACTGCGCCACCAGCCCCACCAGCGGTGCCCACCACACCCCACGGCCTTCCTGCTTGAGTCACCCACCAACGC